CGCGGTGGCCCCGGGCGCGCGCCCAGGGAGTCCCGCTGATCCCGGGTCCCCGGTCCTCGGGGCGCAGCGCCCACGGGGTCCGTGGCGGGGGCGGTGCCTGGGGCCGCCATGAGCTCTCCGCCGCCCGCCCGCAGGGGCTTTTACCGCCAGGAGGTGACCAAGACGGCTTGGGAGGTGCGCGCCGTGTACCAGGACCTGCAGCCCGTGGGCTCCGGCGCCTACGGCGCGGTGTGGTGAGCGGGAGCCGGGCGGGGTGGCGGGCGTCGGCGCGGGGTGGCTCGGCCCTCCCGCTGACCAGTGCGTCCCGCAGCTCGGCCGTGGACAGCCGCACTGGCGCCAAGGTGGCCATCAAGAAGCTGTACCGGCCCTTCCAGTCGGAGCTCTTCGCCAAGCGCGCCTACCGCGAACTGCGCCTCCTCAAGCACATGCGCCACGAGAACGTGAGTCGCGCCGGGCCCGCCAGCCCCGGGCCTCCGCGTCCACTGCCTCTGCTCATCTCCCTCCTCGCCAGCAAATCCTGCCCTAGAAGATGGGGTCCCTGCTACCCGTGTGCTGGGGTGGAGATGCGGGGTCGGGGCGTTGTACCCCAGAGCTGGGGGGGGGCTCCACGTGGTGAGGCCAGAGCCCCGCCTCTTTCCAGAGAGACTGCTTCCCTGGGGTCTAGTTCTCGCTGCTAGGCCAGTGCCTGCGAAGGGCTTAGCTCCTTGGCTTCCTCCTGGGGCCACATCTGGCTCCTCAGCCCAGGCCCTAGTCAAGGCACCACCACTTGCTCAGGCCAAGGGCTCGTCCACAGCTCACCCCAGCCCTGCCTCCAGCCGGGAGCCTGGAGGTGAGAGAGGACGCTCACATGTGACCAGCGGTTATCCTGGAAGGGGCCCTCAGCCTCTTCTCTCTTGCTGGGCATCCTCCACAGCCGCACCCCAGGCCCCCTTTCTCCACCCCTTCAGGCCCCTCTCCTGAACAGTCTGCTCCAGTCTACCTCCCCAGCCTCAGTTCAGGAATGCAGAGCTGGGCATGGGCAGGAGTCAGGATCCGGGCACTGGCAGCCCAGAGCCTTGGGGTCTCTTGTGGTGAGGGGTTGAGGGGGCTGGTGTGTGGAGGGCACTAGGCATAGTGGCCAGCACAGAGATGCCTCCTTCCATGGTGGGGGATGGCAGGAAAAGGCCTCCCTTGTTTCCAGACCTGCCCACAGAGCACCACGTGTGGCTGCCGTGGGCCTCTCTAGTGGCCATTGCTGGCTACTGAGAGCCCTCCTCTCTCCTGGCGGAACTCCTGTTGTTCCACGATGTTCCTACTACAACCCTAAACTCTGCCCCTCCCACACAGGCCATTCCTGCCTCACCTGGAGTTTGGGCCCAGTCTCAGGGCTGGTGGTCTGGGTACCCAGACCCCGGGCTAATCATGCTCTTGACAGATGGTCTGGTCCCTCCTGGATCATCAGAGCCACCAGCCTTCTTCCGGGAAAATGAGTCCCATGTCCACCAGGAAACTTATTCCCTCAGTTCCTGGCTGATGCTCACCCTCTTAGCCCCTTGAGTGGGTCCTTCATTCACTCAGACTTTCCATCTCTGCCCTTAGCCCTTCCCAGGTGAAATCCATTCATGATGGACACCAGCCCTGCCCCGACCTCACCACCTCCTGGTTACACTCAGTCATGCGCAGGCTTGGTTCCCATGAGGGCAGAGTCTGCTACGCAAGGCTTCATCCTCCTCCCCAGCTGTCCCCCTCTCCCACCCACCCACCTTGCCCTTCCCCTAAGGTCTCAGGGCTTTCTTTTCAGGCGCTTCCAACCCCTGGCCCAGTCCCCTCCTCTGTGCCACCCATGGGCAGCCAGGTGCTCCTGCCTCAGTGGCGCCCTGCGCGCAGCCGGGAGGCTCTGCCAATCATAACCCTACTTTCTTAGGAGGACGCTGAGCTGTAAGAAGCCGTGCCAGGTCCTGCCCTTCTGCCCTCCCTCCTACTTCAGGCCAGAAGCCACACTGCAGAGGCGCAGAAGTCTCTATCAACCTGACATCCCCCTTACCCTTGGGGACCGTGTCCTCTATCCTCTTCTTGCCAAGACACTGTCTTGGTGCCACAGGCCTCACTGGCTTCCAGGCCCCTCACTGAACATCCCTCTCTGTCCTCCCCTTCCCTATGCCCATGACCTGGTCACCTAGTTGTCCCTCCACTTTGTGTCCACTCTCGCCTCGCCCCCGTCTGTCCCCACACAGCAGGTAGGGGGACACACTCAGCATCACACCTGTTTAAACCCTTGCTCAGCAGCTCTTAGGATCCAAGCCAAACCTTCACCTGGCATGCAAGGGCCTGCTCAGGCTCCGTCTGGCCTCTCCTTGGCTACTCCCTGGCTTGGGCCTTGGCCACCTGGCCTTTCTCCCCGTGTTCCTCAAATGCTTGAAGTGCTCTCCCTTCTTCCTCGGCCATCGTTCACATGGCCTCTGCCAGGCGTCCCCCCCGGCACATCCACGTGCCCCCCTGGCCACTCTGGTATACAGGCCTCCCAGGGATCAGCAGGGCCAGCTCTAGCCGCTGGCCTGCCTGGGCCTCTCCAGCAGAGGCAAGGCTCCCTGATGGACCCGCTGGGTGTTGGCTCTCCCCTGGGAGGCTGTCCCACCCTGGTCTCGGGTCTTCAGTGGGGATAAGAAGAGGGGGAGGAAGGGCCAAGGGGCTGGAGCTCCTTGGATGACTGGGAGCTGACCCAGACTTGGGGCTGCCCCTCCCCCAGAGGATCCCTGCAGTCACCATTCAAAAATAGCCTGTGTCTGTGGGCGTGTGTGCCAGGGCTGGGCCACTCTGCCAGGAGACAGTGCGGAGGGGACAGGGACAGTG